TGATTCGCCATTATTGGGGTAATATCTGGGACTATAAACGGTTTCTCTGCACTCCTGAGATGGCACATGCCTGCTCTTGAGCCAGACGACGTTGCTGCTCAGAGATGCCTCAGAACCACGATGTGGGAGGCTCAAGTTGGGCTTTCCGTAAATTGTTGATGCCTTTTTGGGGGGTCCCCATATTAAGGATCATAATATATTGGGGTCTATATTGGGGTTCCTCCTATTTCGGGAAACTACCAAATATCTGGGATAGTGGCGAATCAAATAGAAAATCACATGAAGCACGCCATGGAAAGTGGTTCACATAGTTACATGGCTCTGACTTGGGGATTGAAAGCAGAACAATGGAGAATGGTCTTTCGGGGTCCCTTACATTATGGGTTAAGGAGCAAGAGTATAAAAAGGGAAATATCTGTAATCTATGTATTCCGGCTTCTGCATTACTTTGAATGGACACGAGGTCTAGGAGTGTAGGCCTTAGGGGGCATTAGGGAACTGCTTACAAAGAATTACCATTGCTTTTCTCTGAGGGGGAACCCAAACCCGAAATCCTAGCCCTAGACCCTAAACCCTAGCCCTAAAACCCTAAACCCAAACCTTAAACTCTAAACCCTAAAGCCTATTGCCTAACTCCGCGGTTCCTGCAACTGGGCATTTGTCAGGGTCAACCTCCCTATAAGCCCAGAAAACCTTAGGTGGATTCATAGGGGTTACATTACGGTGATATGGGGGCTTGTTAATAGGGGTGATATATGGGGATGATGGAAAAGAAAATGGAAGCTACTACCTAAGGGTTTAGGGCTTAGAGTGGACCCCTACCCAGTAATAGTTACTATAAGGGATAATGGTGATTATATTAGAGCTCTCGCATATTCCGATTGTACCACTATTACCGGGTGGGGGGTCGTCCTCACCGAAACCCTAAACCCCCGCATACTCTGAAGCTGCTCAAGGCTTCTCCTTGCCCTCCTACAGCTCATTCCTTCGACCAAGGATTCAAAGGCAAGGAGGGATCACAGTACAAGCTGTTGCTGAGACTTTTTGTAAGCACCCCCCTCCCATGCCACTGCTACCAAATTAACTTGTAAGTACTTGTAAGAAGTGTTGAGAACTAATTACTGTTGTGTGAAAACGCAAGCGGACTTCCAACTATCTTTGCACGGCGCAGAGCTCTGGCTAGATTCATGGGTATTTTCAGGGTTGCCTTAAGGGCCGAGGAATTGGAGATTTGGGTTTGGCGTTGGCCTTTGTCAGGGTTTAGTTTAGCCCTTTCAGGTTCAGGATTTGCGGGTCCAAGGCCTTTAAGGGTTCATATTGCTTGTAGGGCTTCAGGCTGTTTACATGTTTTGTAGCGTTTCGATGCGTTTCGGGCTTAGGCGTGCGGTCTTTCACTAAGAGCTTCAAGCAAAGAGCGTCGGCTCGAAAAGTGCAAGCGCAGAGTAACAAGTCAGGAAGCGGCAAGACCCCAAACCATACCTGGACTTGGGACGTCCTACCTTTTGTGGAAGATGCTTTGAACAGACTACCGAGAACCGTATTGGACACAACCCCCAAAAGGAAGGACATACAGGGTCCAGGTAACAGCCTCCTGGCACATTGACTCAACCATAAACCCGGTGAAGCCTTTCAACTGCCCTTAAAGCCCTGAACCCCGAACCCTACACCAAGAACTCTTAACGCTAAAGTCCTAATACAAAAGCCCTCAAACCTGAGAGCAGGGCGGTCGAGGCTTTTCGCTTGGCTTTGAAAGTCTTTGGCCAACCGCTTCAGCTCCTTCTCCTGGACCTTGTTTACGGTTAAGGACTGAGGATCCGGGGCTTAGGGTTCAGCAGTTGTTGCATAGTTCAGACTGTAGGATTCAGGGTTTGGTTGGGGGGCGGCAGTAGGCTTCTCAGGGATTACTTAAATGCCCAGCATCTCTTGCTGTTTCAATGGCCGTTTAATCTACACTAGGTTTTGCTACCAACTGGACAGTTGAGTTTGGGCCTTGGAATGTAAAGCTGAGAGCTAAGGCAGAGTAAGGTATGGCTTAGAGGTCTATCCTGAGTCAGCTCCAAGATATAGCCGCCACAGACTTCAAGATGGCAAGAGGTTGCACGATGAAGGATTCTGCAACTTGGCCGCGCCATACCCTTCTAATACTCTTGAAGTAGTTGACAAACACGCAAGTCCAGATCCCATATTCCGTGCAGAAACGGGCTTGTGGTGAATGCAACTGTTCAGGTTCGAGCACATTATTGCGCGTGGTCGACTTGAGAAGTACGCGGGTCGGCGTTCTAGATGTCATTTTTTGCAGGCCGGTGTTTGTAGGCGCAGGCACGCACACGAAGAAATTGGAACACTTGTTGCAATGACACAGGGAACCTGGGTCCACATTCATGTACACATTGGGGTTAGGTAGGGAGTAGGGAATATACAGGGATAATGGAAAAGAAAATGGTAACTACTATTTAGGGTTTAGGGTGACTAAGGTTCACAGACTTTCTGGGCAAAACAAGGCAGAGTCCCTGTCAAAAAGAAGGCCCATCATCTCCGGAAAAACAAGGATTCCATCCGCACAAAACGCAGAAATGTATGAGGTTTAAGGAGACTGAGGGGATTCCTCTGAAGTTAAGGAGGTTTGGGGTTTGGGGTTTAGGGGGTATACAAGGATTGTTGGGAGAAAATCCGGATGGGGGTTTCTATAAACAGGAGGCCTCCAAATGTAGACCCGTAATCTTCTGATCCTTAATCCGGGGACTTGCAAACCAAGGAGTCCAGCATTGTTGGAACCATAAACCTGGCTCCACAAGCAGCCCACCTGGTAGCTTCCATAAATATGGGGACCCCCATAAAGACACCAAAATAGTGGGACCCCAGAAAAGGGTACCCCTGATTTTGGGAAACCCACCTCTAGCTGCACTGCCATTCGGGCAGCTTCGCGCGACCTGCTGGAGGAGATCTCTTCAAAGTTCCATACCCTAAACCCTACCTAGACCCTCCAATGTAGTTCCTTTTTGGGTTTGGTATAGTTTTTTGGCTAGGGCTCTTATTACGACTACCAAAAAGGTACTACAATGGAGGGTCTAGGTAAACCCTAAAGACTCGAGGTTGGCAGCATAAACCCAAAAATTGGATGATATGGGGGAGTCTCTCAAAATTGGGGGGTGCCTTTTTGGGGCTCCCTATAAGGAGGACTACAGTATTCTGGGGTCTATGTTGGGCCTCTCTCGAAAAGTGCCTCACTGTCCATAAGCCAGACTGTAACACGGATTATCTAATAACATGCGCCAGACGGCCAGAGGTTGAACAACTAAGGTGCTGCAAGATGGCAACAATTACAAACGGCATTCCTTGGCGAGGGTTTTGGAACTCACTGCAGGAGCAATCACCAGGGAAGGTTTCGTCTGCAGTCCCTTGATTAGAGACGCTCTTGATTCCCTATCTGCGCCCGATGCCATGCTTAAGCTAGCTATCACAAATCCCATCTCAGGCTTGCCTCATCCCCCATACCATCCTGACACGCTAAACCCTAGAGTCTAAACTGTACCCTACACCGTGAACCTAGACCCTAGCACTGAAAACTTGAGGCTCAAACCTTAGACGTCGTTTGCGTTGTTATTCCCCTTTTTCCCCTATGTCCTAACGGTCCTAGCAGGTAATCATGTAATTACCCCGTATCTCTTCATCTACTGGGTTGCTATTAAGGAACTTAAATTAAGTTACTATATTGGGGAAACCCTGTTATTTACTATATATACCCAATAT